CACCAACGACACCAACGACACCAACGACACCAACGACACCAACGACACCAACGACACCAACGACACCAACATGGCGGTCTTCCTTCGGCCCTCGATGGAGGCAATTAGCAAATACCCCCCGAACCAACTCTTCGTGCGAAATGGCATTATTGTTGGTGTTCTACTCAACGGGCCATGCAAAAGGCTGATTGTCACCATTTCTATGATTGGCCGGGCGACGAGCTGGAGAGACGGCTTGCATCCTGGGCGAAGGTTGTGCAATCGGTGCCTTCTGATTCGCCAAGGCAACTCGTCCCAGAGTGCCCATTGGTCGGTTTCACCCACTCTCGGCATGTCGTCTCTGAGCAGAGTCGGAGTCGCCTTGGCTCCATGCTTTTGGCTCCCAACCTCTCACGACAACTCGTCCTTTTCCCCGCATCTTGTCGCTAGCGCTGCATGTCCTGTGCGTGTGCGCAGGCACGTATGCACACAGACCTTCGTGCCGGCAGACTCGCTCGTCTCACCCTCTCCACCGGCGATCTCCTCGTGCGCTCATCCCACTCTCGGCCAGGCTCCTCTCTCCTCCTCTCTCCTCCTCTCTCCTCTCCTTTCCTCGTCGACTGGCCAGTCAGCCCGGCCGGGCATAGGCGGGCTTGAGCGGCCGGTTACGCAAGCAATCCTGTGCTCGGCCTCCGCGACATTGGCTCGCGGGCCTAGGCCTTTTCTCTGTCCCTCCTGGGTCTGGTGTGCCCGGCTCTGCCCCACCCAACGCCAGGACAAGTTGGTTTGAGTCGGCCAGATTGAACTGGTGTATGCGAAGAAGAGTTGGGTTTCGAGCAGTCTCTTCTTTCACTATTGTCGAGCTTACTTGCGTCTCGAGTGAAAGTGTCTGATGAAGACACTCCGAGCTCGAGCCCACCGGAAGACGATGGCGGATTCCTCTTGACCACCTCTTGATTGGCTATACTCGAACATTCTTGTTGCCGCTGTTTCCGAGGCAACCGTCTTCGATTCCGGTTAAAACGTACTGAGCTTTCGTCCTTCATATCACGGACATCATCCTTAGAACCAAATTCCAGTTTAGCGCGTTTCAACTTAAATCGAAGGAGATTACCTCGGAAACAGCGTCCACAAAAATGTTCCAGCACAGCCAATCGAGAGCTGGTCAAGAGAAATTCGCCATCGTCTTCTGGTGGCATCCACCTTCCAATCTCTTTGCCCAACACTTTCACTCGAAATGCAGGTAAGGTCAACAATTAGACTCAACCAGCCTTTCGCAGATATGAAGAGCAAGGTGTGGTCTCTGTTTGGGTATACAAACGGTTTGACCCCGTTTCCGCAACTTGGTTATGTTGACTTCGTGATCTTAATATGGCCTTCCATGATTTGGTCGGCTGTTTTATGCCTGTAAGCGGATCAAAGTGATGCAGGGAGGGGA